GTTAACACCAGAGGACCATCCATGAACCTATGGTGTACTCGGGAGGAACTCATGTTAATGTCATTCAATCAGTTTCCCATGTAAATGTCATCGTCACATTAGAAACATCATTTTCCACATGACTAGGAACACATTCTTCAATCAGTTTCCCATGTAAATGTCATCGTCACATTAGAAACATCATTTTCCCCCATTGTTATCAAACCCTGGGGAATATTATTTCTCAAAGCTGTGTGAATGCCTGTGTGACACATATCGACGTCTTTGGGAGACCTTCTCTAGGAACATGTACGTGTTCATATTGCAAAGACAGGGATGAATGTATTCACTGACGATTCAAATTCAGGTCCCTACAACGGAACATGCTAGGTATAATCGGGCGGTTATTATGGGGTAATTTATTCCCAATCCCGGACCGACCGACCTCTTCTGAATAAAGCGTATCCATTCTGGGCTCTTTCCAATGCCTCTGTCATCACCTTCTCCCGGCTCGCTCTCAGCTGTACAGGACACCAGGCAGCTGCGTCACCACTAGGGGACCATTTGGGGGAATCTCAGGGACGAAATTGTACTTTACGAACCACCACCATTCACATGGTTTCACCTGCCAACAGCTGAAGCAATGGGGCTTCCTCCTATTACTGGATCAAGTGTTGCAAAATATGCATATATCATGCTGACAGAAGGAAAATCCTGGGGAAATTTTTATATTCATACGGATTCAGGTAGAAGTGTGGGAAATGCGAACCTGTCTCATGCAATATGGGAAAATATACACATGGCCAACTCCACGTGTAGATGACATTTGGTAAAATCCTGAGAAAAATTGAGGAGGTTCTTATTGATTTCTCATTCGTACACGTATACCCAAATTCGTATGTAAATTCCTATAATTAGTGAAGAAACTCCTAAGCTCAGCTGAGGGAAGCCGACATATATTCCGCCAACACTGATCCCACTATAAGCTCACCTTGGGCGAGATGCTATTGACCAAAGCTGAGTAGCTAACAACTACTTCATAACCCTATGTGATGTCATTAATAGCTTCCACAAATAGTGGGTAGCAGTTCTAAAATCACGAGTCGTGATTCACGACCAATACGAATATCACGAAGGAAACGGTCGACACACACTAGCTGGGATCTGGAATAGCTCACTCGAGCGTTAACCGCCGAACAATTTGACACGTGATTGAGGAGGTCCAAGCCGAGCACAAATTATTGAAGTCTGAAACTCCATTACGACGTATATGACTTTGAATGCTACGACTTTTGACTCGTTCAACAAACTGATTTCGCAGCTCGAAATCGCTTCTCACGCTACGATGTTGAAATTGATGCTGAGTTCAGGCAGAGTATATTCAATAGAGTTTCACCACCCTAGTGATATGAAAAACACTAGTGAAAATGTGTTTCACGACTATTATATACCCGGTATATTATACCGCAAATATCGCTTAGTTTTACACTGAGATTCATGCGACTGCACGAAGAATGGGTGAAACCCCGATGAACATGGAATCCCACTACAACGGCAACTTATGATATTCCACACATAGGGTCAATCGCACAAAGGATTCGACTTTAGCGTTGTATGCCTTTTTCATCTGTCTCTCACTATTCGAAAACACTAAGATTTCCCTTTGAATCAAACCGTTACTGTACTCTACAAAATAACAAGCACAGGTTCAAATCCCGGTAGAGTCACTTTTACTCCGATAATGTATCAACCTACACTGCGGAAATTGATTTCATCTGCGACCACAAAAAATTTCCCCAAATTTTCACATGAATGTTATAACCTTTCATCTTATCCATCACCTGTCGAATCAACAGCCTCTTCCCCGAATCCTCCGGCCCAACAAGGATGATATTCTCACCTAAAACGGTCCCAAATTTTTGACCGCGCGCCACAAAATTACCCACCACTGCGCAGTAGTGGTTGGAAAATGTCCAACATTCTCATCACCTGCAGAGTTCTAACCAACGGAGTCATCGTCGTCCACACAGGAATCTCATCCAACGCACTTTTGTACCTATCAAACGTTTTAAACCGGGTATTTTCGACCGACACTTGGAATTTTTCACCCAAACTCGACTATGCATCATTTACCTTATCAGTCGTCCCTGCTCAGCACTCCTGCTCAGCACTCCACACACAATTCTGAGGGTAATCAACTACATACGCAGGAGTTTTGAAGAAAAATCCATTGACTTCCATATAGCTGTACCCGAATTTGTATGTAAAATTCTATAATTTGGGAGAGAGCTTGTGGATTAGGCTGAGAACAGTGAACATTTATTCCAACACTGATTATGTTCATTGTCATCATCAACACATGTAGTTCATTATGTACATATTTTTCTGATGATTTTCAAGTCGATTCCCAAACCATTATCGCAAAAATCAAAATTCCTCGCTGTCACCTCTTTATGTTGACTATATGCATATTCAGTGTGGGGGGAGGGGGAGGGGAATAGTCAACGCACGTTGAAGCACTAATGAAGAAACTTCCAATCCCAGTTGAGAGAAGCAAGCATACATTTCCACACTACAAACCTCTATCCATACACTCCAATGGTAGAGCACCCGACCATCATCCCAAAAATCCCTCGTTCAACTCCCAGCACCCACCTTTTTAAGTCCATCTTGAATATCAGCTTCCACATGACTCAACACATTCCTCACCAAACCCATCATCGTCGTCTCAACCACCACATCCGTCCACATTCTCCTTCACCCATTCAATAAAATTCAATTTCAGATCCTCCATCACTCATCCAGTCGGCAGACCGTCGCCGGGGACGCGTACAACAGAGTGTCCGTTTCGAATTTGAAGTTCACATTTTATGAAATCGTATCCTCTCGCCATTCGGGAGCGTCAACAAACGATAATCATCTGCGCGAAAAATTCACAAATTCGGAATAATTTTCCCCTTTTCTCACCCAACACCGAATTCAGCGATTCAATCCATTCGGCACCTGAGAGGGACTCCCCCCAAATTTTTAGAGATCGGCCCCCAAATTTTAGAGCTCGCCCCAAAATCACCGCTACACCCCCCAAATTCCTACACTACTTTTTTCTTGATTTTGGGGCTTTTCGGGTCCTTTTATCCCCTTACGGGGTATATGAACTTCGCAACTTGTCGTTCGTTGTCCTCTCTCCCCGATGCTGGGACTCACTGCTGCTTCGGAGGCCTCTAGGCTCGTTGTGTTACAGGGATTTGCCGGCTCCTGCTCATGCGCGCCCCGAAATTGCTCGCCCCGGCCCGAAAATTCTCATTCCGCCCCCGAATTACTCAAGTATGCCACATGCGAAGTAGAATTGGATGAGTCATCCGCTATCATACAGTTTCTCTGAGATTGACATACTTGACACAGTCTCTGTTTCAGACACTGATAGAGAGTGTGATTAACTAATGAATGTAGTCAGAATGTTTAATTCTCTACCTCGTAGACGCCTCTGCGGACGGCTTGACACTGTAGGATCATGATGAGCGTTAAATTGGTCCTGGAATAGTTTTCATTGAATTATTCCAACTTTAGAGCTCTGCTGTTGCACAGTGCAGCCTCCATCTGCTGTATATTAGGACTGTTTCGTATTCATATACAACTAGAACTAGAACGTGTAGTTGTATCCTTTAACTACTAGTAATACTAGAGTGTCCGGCCTGTTCAGTGGCTAACCGAAGTTAACCGGCTAACCGGCCTATAGTTAGACCGGCCTATACTCCCGCCATGTCATCTCCGGTTTACTCTCCCCCGAGGAAGAGGGTTCGTGGCCAAGCTGGTGTGTATTTCGTTGTAACACCTCGCAGCTTCGCCTCCGAAGAAGCCGCGAGAACTCGGTTGAGTGAGTTCAGCGGATTACCAAGAGGCGGGCCCGCAATGGTCCGAACTCAAGCGACTCGACCAAGGTTAGGTGCAGGAGATAACCCGCGGCCTCTGGCTGTACGTTATCGCTGCCCATACTACCACTCTGCCGATCGATGCCCATTCGCGATGTATATTCGTAGCAGTGATGGAGTCTCGTTCCAAGTCTCGGCTAACTCAAGAACCCACCCTGCCCATCCAAGCCAGCCTCTGCGCCATCCGCCACGAGTCGCATTAACAAATCACAGTTTCGAACGAGGTTTGATACTATCGCACACAACGAGTATATCGTGCTTTCCCACTCTCAGTCCCGCTCACAGCCCCACTTGCAGACGCAGAGGCTTGCCTGAGAGAAATACTACGCTTGTTCTTTCTAAACCTGCAGGAGATGGGACCCTTGCGGACTGGAGGTTGGTCCGTAGATCGCAGGTGGCACGGCCCCTTCGGTGTGGAGTTATTCATCCAGATTCCTTAGCCGATTTTACCGACGATCCGGTATCCTTGTTACGAGCCTGGCGTCCTACGCGTCAGAAGCTTAGAAGGATGGGCGTTTCAGAAACAGTTCTGAAGGATGGAGACAGTTTGACTGGCCTGGCCGTCATTATGTCCAGTGGTGGATGCTGCACTATCCTGTTTGAGCTTTTGAGGAGATTCTCTGGGCCCCAGTCTGATTTCTGCTGCTCGTGGACATCATGCAGCGGCGCTCGGAAACTGCTCCAAATTGTCAAACGGGGAGTGTACGATGCATGGTTCAACACCTGCACTAGGGAGTGATACAGATATTCACTAGAAGGAGGAGCTCTGAGTCCAACGCCAGCATTACCACCGAAGTGGACGGGTCTACTGAATATCATACACTCTGAGCGTAAGTGTCAACCGTGTGCTCGCATCCTCAAGAGCCGGCTAGTAGCCGGCGGCTACTACTGCCCTATCCGTTCAGGTTTGAGGCAAGGAATCCCTAGCCCGGCCAACGGGAACGGCGTGAGGCTTGTCATCATGGCTTTCTCATCGAGTTCTCTCACCCTGATAAATAGACTGCTGAAGCTAGGTCGGACCAGTTACGCGGCTCGGGAATCCCCGAGCGAACTTCCCGCGCAGTATGACCCGGAAAAATTTGGCCCGGCCGGATGCTCTCCAGGGACGGTGTCGGTAAGTAGTTTCTCTCACTATGCCTAGTTTCCGCTACGAACGATAGTGAGACTTTCGCGTCAGGTCTGAGCCGTATGGAGGTTCACCTCCTCCAGAGATTCGTGGGCCTCACTGATTCGGGCGGGGAAGCCTACGACGAGGTTGCGTACGTCACCCTGCGCCATGAGTGAATATTTCCTCCTCAGGATCCCGGTAAGAGCCATTGACGGACGCAAGAAGGGAGCTATTTCGGGTGAGTTGGCCGAATTTGGCCCTTCTTTGATCGTCATCTACGACCTACCTACTGAGAGACGTGTGCTGGCTGACATTCAAACTCTGGTCGACGAGTACCGAGATAGGGGAGAAAACGGTAATCAAGCAGTCTACACCGGTTAGTATAGCCACACCACGATTGTAATACCATGTGGATGCTCAGGCGGCGACGCGCGACTCGTATGTATCTCTGTCGAAGGTTCCATTGAAGCCGAGGGGCACACGCTGGATTCGTAGTGAATCACTACTGGAGATGCAAAAGACTTCACTTGATGGACATGTCTCTGCCAATCGTTGTGATGCATAGTAGGCTTGAGTTCGTGAGTTAGCTGCGGCTTGGTAATCCCAACCTACGCCCGCTGAGAGAGGGAGATCGTGATTAATGATGCGCTCGGCAAGCGATTCGCCAGATGGCGGCACTCGGAGTTATAGATGGACAGAAGCACGTTACGGATCATTACGGCTCACTCTTACGGTTACGATTCAAGCCCCGTACCGTAAAATTACGGCGCCGTAACGGGCTTTACGGAGATGCAGAGTACAAAACGAGGATTGACCATTCAAGTCGTCTAAATTTATTTCATGTGAATGCGCATGCGTAGACGAGGCCGGCTCAGCAGTTCCAGGCCAGCCTGGGAGTAAGACGGACGGAGTTTGCAAAGGAGACAAATGGTAAATGCGAAACCAAATGCTACTCTCTCAGCAGTTCGGTTGGATCCGAGCCACAAGAAATGAGTTTAACAACTATTTGAGCTATCGTGGAGTGCAGTAAAGCTAGTGTTTCCGCCACAATTCCAAAAAAGCAGTTCAGCACCAATCGTAAAGTCGTAAGGCCTTTCCGTGACCGTAAACTGCTTACGTTACGCGCACCGTAACGTAAACCGTAAAAAACATTACGCTGCCCATCTATACTCGGAGTGCACTGGACTCAGCTCGGCGCTGAATCTTGAGCTAAGACACACAAGTCTCTAACCTGCGGCTCGCTCGGATGAAAGCTACAAAGTTGTCTTTCGGATACTTCCATTCCTGTTGCTGGGACATACGTGTTTAGTTGACGGTTGTTTGGGTACCCTCAGGGTACCCTCCTGTCGCCGCAGATGCGGCCAGAGTTCTGTCACTACTCCCGCTGTTGACCTTCCAGTCAACCTGGTCGACTCGATCCCACGACCTCCACCATCGATCCTTCGACGATGAACCCGACTACGGAACTCGGCACAGACTCAAATACATGCACATCAGTCGTTAGACTGCAGACCTCTAGAATTCATGATCTTGTAATTTATTCGCTTCTTTCTACGCAGCTGCATTGGGTGGTTTCTCTTAACGGGCTCGGATATACCGCTATGGCAGATGTGCACCTAAAGCCTTGCGGAGCTTTGCTCAGTCCTTCGCTGTAGTGAATTACCTTCTCAATTGCGTTGCAGTCTTTTAGTGGGTGAGAAGGAGAAGGAGAAGCCGGAGGCGATTCAAGCATCATCGAATTTGCGAGCTCGGAAATACCCTGCCAGTCATAAGGAACCCTGGTCACGCCGACTCGACAGCGCTCACTCGACGGTCTCGAAGACCGTCACGATTATCACGAGGCTCACTTCCATGAATGCCGAGTTGCACGGCTCGGGGGATGACACTGTCGGTGAGCATTCAAGGAATGGTGAAAGCCGCAAGGATGAATAAGACAGCGCTTGACTCGTGGGCACGATCGGGCTCGCGCTACCGTAACTCGTGCAGTGCTCATTCTGGTACCACCCGAACGCAGGACTCCGACCAGCTCTCTCTGCAGGACTGTTTGACTGGGAGGTAGGGATCACAGACTCGTCCAGAGATGGAATCCGGATGGGCGGAAGGGAGATTAGGGGAAGGCTCGACGTTGAGGGATCGATAATCCTGTCTCCAGAGTGGGGATGGCCATCACCTGGGCATTGCGAGATTTGGTATGTGATGGTCGCTCAGTCTCACCCCTCTGGCACAGTACGACGTTGCAGGAGCCGTCTCTTGTGACATCTTCATTATCGTGGACTTCCGACTCACCCACTCGCCTCAGGCTGAGCGGAGACCTCTCCGCGGAACTGTTGATGAGAGGGCTTAGAGTTGAAGGGGCGATGATGCTGTAGTCTCCTGAGCATCAGAGGTGCACAGTGAGCGCCGTTCACTGAGTGGTTTTTCGCTCTAATAAAGCCGTAGTACCGTTCCGATCGGACGTGAGATTGACCGAGGCATCCCGAATGGCATCTTCTATGCCTTGAGCTTCTGCCTCTTCTATCCAGCTCGCTTCCATGACGCGGCGAGGATCTGAAGCAGAGATTGACCGGCATCGCTATTATCATGAGTCTGCGGCAGTAGCAGTGATTCTTTAATCCTGCTAGCAGGACCTATGTGCTGCTCACCCTCTTCGTCGCCGGATGATTCAACATCATCGTCGGCTCCCTGGAAGAATGACGAGTCGACGCTGATTGACTGGTCGGGTATGGGTCTCGCAGCGGCAGGGTAACGGGGCCGTTGAGCGGACTGTGAGCGAGGGGCAAATTGTTGAAGTAGGTCAGTATATCTCCGGGCGGTTGAAGGCTCTATGCTAAGCGCATTGCCAACCTTGTATCTGAGAACAAAAAGTCAAGACCATTGGCTTGGGAATTCGTACGTTGAACAACCTTGTGCAACACGACCTGGAACCACACAATCCCCGCTATGCGGGATCACTCGCTCTAATAATCCCATGCCGATACAATGCCGACAAAAGATAGATCGCACTCCGTCGTAGCAGGAGCATCTATAGCTCCTGCCACCCCAAACGCCTATCGTCCCCTCCGAGTCCGGCCTGACTTCCACAACTCTCACGAGTTGGTTAGACTTGACGAAGTCGTCGAAGTCCTCCCATATGCCGGCACTTGGGTGATCAAACTTGAAGCGGAACTGCGCGACAGCTTGTCCCAGGCAATCTGCATATGCGCGCCGGCAGGTATCCGAGGGAATGAAGTAACGGTAGGCGACACCGGTTTCGGCCGGTTCATCAATGAAAATTGACCGTGATCGCACGACTCGGCTGCAGCTCCACCTGTAGCCCCGGTTCATCTCGTCCTCGGACGGGTACTGCTGTCCGTCAGCCAGCTCGGGGCTTTCCATCCCGCTTTGGACGGAATAATCCACTGCCACGGCTCCTAGTTCGCCCAGAAGAGCACTAAGACTGAAGTTGGGAGTAACGCCACCTAAAGATGCGCAGTTTTCAAGCTCCAGAGAATACAACGGCCAGATAGTTCCTACTCTGTTTTAGGGATTTATTTATCCCTTCCACAGAATTTGAATGGCGGCACTTCGAGTCGCATATGACGTCTGCGCACGTTCTTTGTCCCCAACATGCTCTAGATTCGAGCCAATTATGCCGAAAGTACTCCCAGACCGATGGATTAAGAGCCTCCCACTTCTTCCCCATTAATTTCGCCAAGATGCTGAAATGTCTTTGGCTGGGAGCTCTCTGCAAGATAAGGCAGTCTTTCTTGAAGGCCACTCGTTGCCTCTGCCACTCCTCTTTTTGTGCGCCCTTGGACAGCAAGGGAGTTATGTGTCTCAAACATTGGCGCCACATGTGAATGTAGCAGAACAACCTTGCACTAGCATCAGACTCGTCGCAGACAGGCCACTCCAATTCTCGATTTAGTCCGGTCGGGAGAACTGTCCCAAAGACCTGGTGGGGAAAAACAACTGAGACCATGCTGGGCCGACATTCCACAAACGCTGATCTACAGGGTGGTGCAAAAAAGTGCCAAACCTTCGTAATTTCGCGACAAGTTACTGTTCATGGACGAAAAAGGTACCATTCGAAAGGCCCCATATGCATTGTATGAGGATTTGGGATAGATGCATTATATATTGCATTATATAGATGCGCTTCTACAGTTACCTACCGCCTCATATGCTGCCGTAAATTGTGGGGCGGCATCTCCGATCAGGCCGCGTGGCCTGAAGTGGCCTTGAGGAGATCCTTTCCTTATCTGGTTCAGGCAACGTCGTATGCCCTCAAACCCTCGTTGCACGGCGAGTGACGACTCGGATAATGTCACGCCCACACTCATAGGAAGAAACTTGGATCTTCCGCGTATCGTTCCTATCATTATAGTAGGAAAAGGGCAGTAGCTCAACCCGTGCGTGTAGTCGCAGGAGATGAGACTCTCCTCTGAGGCGGTTAATATCAAATTCCTCGTCGTGAAGTACATGAATAGCGAGCCGGCCTCGTCGGCGCCCACTTCGTCGTTCTCAGATCCCTCCACGCCATACGCGATGCAGAAGAGATCATGTGGACGATTTTCCGGTGGGATGGAGGATCTCTCCGCGCAGAAGCGCCTTATAGCCCCAATTGACTCGCCAGCCGGTTTCGGCCTTTCTGGGTTGTTCTTCTTGAAGGCAGAGCGAAGATCGTAAATTGCTCGGATAAGCTTCTCGTATGTGACGCTATCCGGTAGATCGCCCTCCTCACGAAGAGCACGCACTATTCCTCGAGGCATTGAACCTCCTCGTGTCATGAGTATCACTTTTTTCTTGACCTCGTCCTCGAGCACCGCCGGGCCTCGCCCAGTCTGGGGATCATCACGTCTCTCATGAGCAGGATGTTCTGCGAAGTTACTTGTGATCTCAAATTGCTCACCATCGCCTCGAATGTACATAGCGAAAGGGCAAGGTTGAAATTCAGGATGGTTTTCGCGATTGTAAGGGCAGCGGTAGCGTATTGCTATTGCCCGAGGGCCGACGCTCTTGGGATAGCTCACATTACTCCGTTCCATCGCCGGACCGTCTGCGGGTAAGCCGCTGAGCTCAATCAACCGCTCTCGGGCTTCCTGTTCGGAGCAGAATTTCTGCGGTGTTGCGGCATGGTACTCGCACCCACGCCCGCGAACTCCGCGACCCCGCAACGGCTGTGGATCTCCATTTCTTGAATCAGCCTGGCCCTCGCTAGCCAGACCGGGATTAGGGGTGTTTGAGGCTTCAGTCCCCTGGTTTGAGGTCAACTGTCTAATCGCATCCTGTAAGGACTTGATCGTGTTCGTCAACTCGTCCACACGCTGTTCCATTTGAACTTGCTAGAACTCCAGAAAGAGCAAAAGACTGAAGGCGTATCTCAATGTCACATCCTCGAATTGAGCACTCGAAAGGGCGGCCCTTCAAGGGCCTGATGACTGTGAGCACCTCACAGTGATCAGGCCTCGACGCTCGCCTTACGTAGTGGAGCGAAGCGTGAACGGAGGTTGTTTTATAACGCCTATAACTCGTGAATAGTCGACACATCTGTACATCTCTCTCTGTCCTCTTGTGCCACTGTGATGGGACGTGCTTCGCTCCGCTGTGGCGCACGGTCCCTATTCTGTGTGCGATCCTTCACTGTGTGCTACAGACCGTATCTGCGAGTACTGCAGCCGTTTCGCAGTATCTTTAGCTATTGGATATCGATCATACGTAGTTGTCGTATAAGCTTAGTTCAAGCTTACTACGAGCTCTGTACAAGTACACTTTACACGTAGTCCACTCGTGTTCTGTACACGTATTCCACTCGTACCCCTATCCCTGTCGTCTATCGTAGTATCCCTGCGGTAGTCATATTCCCTGGTTATCTTTATCTCGTACAGTCACCGCTCTGTACGTAGTTGGATATCTGGTTATAGCTTAGTCAGCTCAACTCCTTATACCCTAGGTGTGCTGGTTGTGTTCTTCTCATTAGTTGGGTCGGTTCACTTCTGCGACATCTTTCTGGTAGCAGCTCCTTGTTCTACGCCGCCTTTATTTACTTGGTTTGGTTATGAGTGGTCACGAAGACGGTGGTACGCCTAGTTCTCCTCGAGAGATTGGTATTGGTACTGATGAGACGTCAGCATCTTCCTCAAGCACGGGTACGACTAGTATGCCCCCTACTTCTAACAACGCTTCCTCTGTGGCGAACGGTACGAACTCTCCAGAGCCTGTCTCTGTGAACGGTAATCCCGGATTGCCTCGGAAGCCTGCCATTGGCCTGATCAGCCATCACGTGTGTGAGAAGTTTAAGGGTTCTGTTGATCAAGACATACAAGAATGGTTTGGCACCTTCGAGATGGCTACCTCTGCTTGTGGTTGGAACGATGTCCAGCGTGGTACGTACCTTGGCCTCTATCTTACTGGCTCTGCACACCGAGTTTGGCGTTCGACCTGCCCTAAAGGCGATTATCAGACGGCCCGTACTACTTTGCTTAAGGCCTTCGATAAGTCCAAGACCGCTGATGCTGCTCTCTTACGGTTCAAGGAGTACGCCTGGGATGGCAAGATCACCTTGTCGGAGTATACTGCGAACTTATCGCAAGCCCTCCAAGATTATAGTGCCCTGCTCCCGGACGATTCGAAGATTCCTCCTGCTGTGTTGGAGACTCTACTGATTGACCGTGTTTGCGAGACAGCTACTGGTTCGGCTAAGGCAGAGATGCGTCGTCATCGCCCCAAGACATTCCGTGAAGCTTGTGAAGTCCTGGACGCTTACTCGGAAGACGTGACTGCCAATGCCACCTCTCGTACCCAACAAGTGAATGCGGTGACGTCCCCCTCTCCTGAACGTGTTGACTCAGAGAACATCTCGGCGGTATTGACGAAGGAGTTTGAACGGCTGACTACTGCCATGACTAACGCCCTGACTCATGTTGTACGCCCTGCCCAGGCTGGTCAACAAGCCCCGGTACAACATGCTGGTAATCGTGGTAAGGGTAATGGTGGACGTTTCCAACAACAACGTCGTGGTGGATGTGGTATCTGTGGTGGATCTCATCGTACACCTACTTGCCCGTTTCGCAAGTACGACACTGGTTGTATGATCTGTGGTAAGGACGATCACATGGCTCGCAACTGCCCTGACCACCCCTCACGTCGACCTATGGCCTCTTTGGTACAGAGGCAGGGAAACTAGCTCGGCAGCCGGTTAGCGGTGACCGGTGTGCCAAAGCTAAATTAGATGATGTTATACTACGAACGTTCGGGGGTTCGTTTGGTATGTATCTGTATACCCGGTTAGAGTGTAGTGGACGACATTCTCCTTTTATCTGTGCTCTGGTAGATAGCGGTGCTAGTTTAACTATAGTTAAGAAGAAGTTTTTACCTGCTGGTTGTCAAATACGACCAGTTTCTATGACGACGGTGACGGCTCTACCTTCGGTAAGTTTGGCCTTTCTTGGTACGGCCACGGTCACTATCAATTTTTATGATTCCCCTGCTATGTTGTCGCAACCCTCGGGACGCATGCTCTCGTCCCCTGAGGATGCTTCAGCAGAGATGACGGTCTATGTGGTGGACGATCTGTCGGCGGATATGTTATTAGGGTACGATTGGCTCTGGCGGTTTGGTCTCGGACTTCAAGCGGATGCTACTGGGTTTTGCATCAAGCACGTGAAGACCTCGGCCCCGATCCGCAGCCCGGCCCATGTTCCGCCCGGGGTCGCTCTGAGGCTGACGTTGCCTTCCCTGTACGCTTATAGGACACCATCGTCGACCACCACTATAGAAGACCCTGTTGATCCACCTCCTATGTCGGCGACCCCTGTCCCTACGACTAAGGAGCCAGCCTGTGATGGACGACCCCGGCGACGCCGTAAGAAGACCCCGTGGCGTTGTGTCCGACCTCGCCGTGAGCCTGTTATGTATTGCCGGCACACTAAGTCCACAGTAGTTGCGGACGGTAACCTTGGGACGTCCATTGGCCGGACATCTTCATCGGTTGGTTCGGTATCTAAGGCATGGTCGACGACTTCTCAGAAGGGATCGGTGGTATCTCCAAGGGACGACGACAGCTTTGTTCGTGGTACACGGTTCGCCGCTCTGGCAAGGGAAGAGGATGAGTCGGTTTATCCTGCCCAGTCCGTGGACGATGATGCTCTGTCGAAGGTTACGATCTTGAAAGACACCGAACCTGATCCTACTCTGTACGAAGGCGATTTCTACAAGATGAAGATCATGTTCGCACAGTCTATCCCTTCACCGTACCCACAGTTCAAGCCTTATTTGGGCTCGAAGGCTGGCGACCTTACTCCGTACGAAGAGTGGCCGACTCCGTCCATGGCTCCTGGTGATGAGATGGATGATGACGTTATCGGCAAGGATATTGAGCAGTACGCAATCCCTCAGCTCCCCACGGACGAGGAGGAGGTGTTTTCGGTTCCTATCTTCGACGTCGATGCCAAGCCAGAGCTGGTGGCGGTGGACGAGGTCTGTAAGCGGTATAAGTCGCTCTTCTCTAACAAGATTGGTCGGTGTAACTTGGTCGAGCACGACATCGACACGTATGATGCCAAACCTACGAGAGAGAAGCCTCGGCGTATCCCGCATGCCTATCGGGACGAGATTATTAAGCAGTTGGACGATCTAGAGAAGCAAGGTGTTATCCGGCGGTCTAAAAGCCCGTACGCAGCCCCTTGTGTGTATGTTGCCAAGAAGGACGGAGGCGTACGACTGTGTGTTGATTACCGGAAGCTCAACACAGCCTCTCCTCCATCGGCTTATCCGGTCCCGCTACCCGATTTTGTTCAAGAGTCTCTGGCTGGATCTAAGGTGTATACCAATCTCGATTTACGTTCGGGTTATTGGCAGATTCCCGTCCGTCCTTCGGACGTATGTAAGACGGCCTTTTGTCCTGGTGCCAACCTGCCCTTGTACGAGTTCTTGGTTATGCCCTTTGGTCTACATTCAGCTTGTGGTACGTTCCAAGATTTGATGGATCGACTACTAGGCGACCTTCCTTACGTTAAGGTCTACCTGGACGATGTCCTCATCTTTTCACCGGACCTGGAGACCCATGCTAAGCACTTGGACGAAGTCTTTCGTAGGTTGGCAGAGGCTAACCTAACCCTGAACGCGGCTAAGTGCAAGTTCGCTGGAGACGGTGTTAAGTATCTGGGTCACTACTTCGATCAGTTCGGTATGCACCCTGACCCCGCTCGGGTTCAAGCTATTGCTGAGTGGACGCCGCCTAGGACAGTGTCAGAGGTGAGGTCGTTCCTGGGGCTGGTCAACTACTACCGGACGTTCATACCTCGGATGTCTGCGGTAGCTAAACCCATTCAACGTCTGGTGTCTCTATGCGACAAGTGCCCGGACGACGTACCTAAACATTGGGACGTGGATGCTGACGAAGCCTTCGTGAAGCTCAAGACTGCTCTTATCGGACTTCCCGGTTTGGCCTACCCCGATTTTCGGGAGCCGTTCCAGATCTGTTGCGATGCTTCCAATCAAGCTATTGGTGGGGTCCTCGAACAGAACGGTCGTCCGATCTGCTACTACTCTCAAGTTCTATCTGGTGCTGAACTACGCTGGCATACCTTCGAGAAGGAAGCGTACGCGCTATTTCGGTGTCTGCATCGGTTTCATGACTATATTATTGGTCACCCTTTGGAGGTTACTATCTACAGTGACCACCGCCCCTTGCAACACCTTGCTAAGTGTACGTCTGATCGAGTTCAGCGATGGATTTTGGCCATGCAACGGTATCGGTTCGTGGTACGGTACAAGGAAGGGACGAAGAATATCAATGCTGATGTACTCTCTCGACCTCAATTGCCACGGCCAGATCCTGTAGTACCAGACCCCCATGCTTGTGAAGTACGGTCCCCCGTCAACGACTCCCCCGTCTTGCGATCTTGTCTGGACGACCCTGGTTGCCGACTACATACGTCCTTGGTGGTTCTTGACACCCTATTCTCGATCGATGATATCCGAGACGGTCAGGACTTGGACGAGGTGGTCTCTGCAGTACGAGAGCGAGTCTTGGACGGCCATCCTTTGGGCCGCAGCGAGTTCAAGACCCGAGACTACCTTCCGTATCGACGTATATGGGCTTCTTTGGATGTGTCTGATGGGATTTTGGCTCGGCACTATCGTATGGATGCGCTGGACGAGGCGAGGCTCCTACCAGTGATCCCCGATGAGTTACGAGAACGAGCCCTCCGCCATTATCATCAGGACACCGGTCACTTTGCCCGAGAGAAGATGCTGAGCAAGATGAAGCAACAGTGCTATTGGCCGACTATGCACGTGGATGTTGAAGTACATTTGCAGACCTGTACTTCTTGTCTTGCTGCTGGCCCATTACAAGGATCCCCGTCACCCCTGTTACCGGTTCCTGTCGGACGAGCTTGGCACACCTTAGGTGTCGACTACCTCAAGATCGGTCCTGGTGTGGGTGGTTACAAGTGCCTCTTGGTGGTTCAAGACTACTTCACCAAATGGGGTGAAGCCTATCCTCTCCGTACGGAAACGGTGGAAGAGTCTTTGCCTCACCTTCTTGGGTTGTTTGCTCGATTTGGTCCGCCAGCACGGATCCATTCAGATCAAGGCCAGCAATTCGAGAGTGCTCTCTTCCGAGCTACCTTAGACGCTCTAGGGATCTCCAAGTCTCGGACGACCATCTACCATCCAGCTGGTAATGGTTTGGTTGAACGACTTAACGGGACCATCTTGTCGATGTTGAGGAGACACTGTTGCATCCCCGACTGGCCGACCCATCTGCCGGCTCTCATGTTCAAGTACAACACCGCTATCCACTCTTCTACTGGCTACAGTCCCTTCATGCTTATGTTTGGACGTGAGCCCCCGGCCGACTTTATTCCTATAACGTCTGCTTATAACTCACTGGTATTTGATACCGAGACTTACGGACAATATGTGGCTAGGGTACGAGCTTACTTGGACGATGAGGTCGACCAGGCTGTCACTCATGCAGCAGCGAGGTACAAGGCCTTCTACGATCGCAAAGCCAAGCCCACGGCTTTCTTTCCGAACGCTAGAGTCTTTGTACGTGTTCACGTCCCCAACAACAAGCTGGCCCCGAGGTGGGAAGGTGACTGGTATATAGTGGATATTATCGGTTCACAAGACCCTGTAAAAGTGCTTCGTCTTAAACATGCTGTCACGGGCGAGTTGAAGGTCATCAACGTGGACCATGTTCGACTGGACCCAGTTCAACCTGACCAACTGCCGGACGGTCTCCTACAGCGTGTGGATCGAGAAGTCCCAGACCTACCACCTCTACCGGCCTTCAACCCTGAGGCACCGCCTGCCCATGCTCTACACCCTCAGCGAACGATGCCTCCTAGGTCAATGTCTGACGAGGACGAGTTCTCTAACGGTGTTCCGGACAATCAGCCCGTACCCGCTCGATCTGTGGTACGACCGCCGAATGGTCCGTCCGCATCTCCTGCCCCGTCTAGATCACGGACGAGGCCTATGCCCCCTTCGGCAGCCTCTACTCCTGCGGCTACATCTAGACCGTCTATGTTACCCCCGCGGCCGTTTATGTCGTCGCCTCCTCCGGTGGAAGGACGACCTGTTCATGACGGGCATTATTCGCCCCTGTCCCCGCCGCCTCTTTCTACACCGCTCCCGTCGCCGGTGCCTGATAATCTTCAGAGCCCGGCTGAGTCGGTACCCTCGGATGGTCCTCTGTCCCCCCTGGAACCATCCCGATCTGTGTCACCTGACGAGCTTCCCCCTGGACGCTCACGGTCCGTGACGCCTACTACCCCTGTGGAGTCTCCTGAAGAGTCAACGCCGCTTCCTTCCGGTATGGCAAGCCCGATCATGGACGCTGACTTCGAGTCTCCCCAAGGTACGCCGACGCCCCCTGTTAACGACCCCATCCAACAACCTGCTGAGGCACCGTCGACCACGCCTCCGGCAGAGGCAGCCCCCGAGTCTACAAGACCATTTACTAGGTCTAGGGCTGGTCACCGATCCCGACCACCGACCCGCTTCGACCCCGATACCTACGTCCCGATGGCTCTTCGTTCTGAACGGAGCCATGGACGTTCTGACTCTTCTTAAGTGAGGAAGGAGGTTTGCGTGGGAGGAGAAAGAGATTGGTACCCTTCTAACTCTCTATACAGTCCCGAGTTGGATGATCTCCTGACCCTCCTCGTTGCCTCTTGTAAAAGCCTGCCGGCAGCCTATCCCCGTTCAGGGATAGTTCCTCTACGTCTCCTTTCTGTACGTGTCGAAGCCTGTTACCTAGTTGGTTATGGTTGGATGTGAAGCTCCTGCACAACGTGTTCTGGTTATTTCTACAAGTTGGTTTTGCCACTACGCTGCAGTGACCGCGGGACCCCGAGCCGTTTCGGCGGTTCCAACCCTGCGCTGTATTTTTAGTCTATCCAGTCGATATGTCTACGCTTTTGCTCCTGATTTGCTCGTGGAGCCGATGATGGTCCGCCGACAAGAACGACCCCAAGATTGAAGAAGTCGTTGCTGAGATCGTGGTGGACACTGAAATCGAGGATGCTCAAGCTCTAGCTCAAGCTCTGACTCAAGGTTCCGCTTACTCTAAGGATGGCCCTTCGAGCTAAGCTGATTCTGCTCTATTCTGGACGGCTCGGACAAGCTGTTGCCGTAAGGATGAATTAAGTATGAGACTTTTTATTATTATGATTAAGTACACCGCTGTAGTACGTATTGCTAGAATTCGTATATGCTGCCTTCACTGGTACGCTGCTTTTTCCGTCTGTAGCCCGGTTCGGATCTGCGTGGGAGGAATGTGATGGGACGTGCTTCGCTCCGCTGTGGCGCACGGTCCCTATTCTGTGTGCGATCCTTCACTGTGTGCTACAGACCGTATCTGCGAGTACTGCAGCCGTTTCGCAGTATCTTTAGCTATTGGATATCGATCATACGTAGTTGTCGTATAAGCTTAGTTCAAGCTTACTACGAGCTCTGTACAAGTACACTTTACACGTAGTCCACTCGTGTTCTGTACACGTATTCCACTCGTACCCCTTTCCCTGTCGTCTATCGTAGTATCCCTGCGGTAGTCATATTCCCTGGTTATCTTTATCTCGTACAGTCACCGCTCTGTACGTAGTTGGATATCTGGTTATAGCTTAGTCAGCTCAACTCCTTATACCCTAGGTGTGCTGGTTGTGTTCTTCTCATTAGTTGGGTCGGTTCACTTCTGCGACACCACCGTTAACAGCGCTCGCCTTGGTCATCGATATCCTGCCCTGTTGTAGCTCTGTGGTGACCCTGATCCGTTTGATGAACCCGAAGCCGAAGTGCTAGTAGATCCAGTCCGAAGAGCCCTGTGGGCCTGTTCAACTTGTCGTGCTGGCTATTCGAAGCTATATAAGACACGACCCTCCCTGTAATGAGGTCTCCTTGCTCGAACTCGCTCAGATCACAGAGTAAGGGTGCACCTGTCCCACGCCAGTGCTAGTAGATCCAGTCCGAAGAGCCCTGTGGGCCTGTTCAACTTGTCGTGCTGGCTATTCGAAGCTGTATAAGACACGACCCTCCCTGTAATGAGGTCTCCTTGCTCGAACTCGCTCAGATCACAGAGTAAGGGTGCACCTGTCCCACGCCAGTGCTGGTAGATCCAGTCCGAAGAGCCCGGTGGGCCGGTTCAACTTGTCGTGCTGGCTATTCGAAGCTGTATAAGACACGACCCTCTCTGTAATGAGGTCTCCTTGCTCGAACTCGCTCAGATCACAGAGTAAGGGTGCACCTGTCCCACGCCAGTGCTAGTAGATCCAGTCCGAAGAGCCCTGTGGGCCTGTTCAACTTGTCGTGCTGGCTATTCGAAGCTGTATAAGACACGACCCTCCCTGTAATGAGGTCTCCTTGCTCGAACTCGCTCAGATCACAGAGTAAGGGTGCACCTGTCCCACGCCAGTGCTAGTAGATCCAGTCCGAAGAGCCCTGTGGGCCTGTTCAACTTGTCGTGCTGGCTATTCGAAGCTGTATAAGACACGACCCTCTCTGTAATGAGGTCTCCTTGGTCGAACTCGCTCAGATCACAGAGTAAGGGTGCACCTGTCCCACGCCAGTGCTAGTAGATCCAGTCCGAAGAGCCCTGTGGGCCTGTTCAACTTGTCGTGCTGGCTATTCGAAGCTGTATAAGACACGACCCTCCCTGTAATGAGGTCTCCTTGCTCGAACTCGCTCAGATCACAGAGTAAGGGTGCACCTGTCCCACGCCAGTGCTAGTAGATCCAGTCCGAAGAGCCCTGTGGGCCTGTTCAACTTGTCGTGCTGGCTATTCGAAGCTGTATAAGACACGACCCTCCCTGTAATGAGGTCTCCTTGCTCGAACTCGCTCAGATCACTGAGTAAGGGTGCACCTGTCCCACGCCAGTGCTAGTAGATCCAGTCCGAAGAGCCCTGTGGGCCTGTTCAACTTGTCGTGCTGGCTATTCGAAGCTGTATAAGACACGACCCTTGAAAATCATGTAACCCCTCTTATCAGTCACACCAGAGAATCGGCCTCCCTCTATAACACCAGCAGACTTAGCTTGTTTGCTAATCTTCATGATAACCAAAGGCTCTATCACCAACGACGATTTGGCACTTCGGTCAGATTTAGTGCTATCGAGCTGTTGTTTGACCTCCTCAACAATACCATGCACTGTATTAGTAGGACCATCCTTGCTGTCATCGCCAGTAGCACCAGTAGTACCATTTGCATCATGTCTGGTCTTGTGATCAGCGTTGGACTCAAGCTGTGACTTAATACCTGCAATCGACTCCGTCAACGAATCTAGCTCCTTCTTCAGCTGCCAAGCCCACACAGGTGGGGATTGCTCAGTACTGCTCTTCTTATTGTCATCAGTCAGTACTGGGTCAGACGCCTTGGGAGATACCATAGAGCAATTGAACCGTTACTTGTTGAACAGAGTGGTCTTTACACAAGAGCTTGAGGTAGTTGCTTCTCGGATGATTGTGCCGATGTATGCAACTCAATACGGCCTTGTTACAGATAGCAAGACTTGATTATACACCAATAACTTAAGAGTAACGAATGGGATGGTATAGCTTAGCTAATATCTTAGCTGATACAAACGGGGACAACGGAGACACAGATGTGCATACCGCAACAGTCTCAACTGACCACAGTTAACATAATATGTTCCCATATCAGCACAATATTCATCATATCTAAAGTTGAGATTTCAATCCTACTATGATAATCTCACTTTATCAATAACACTCCATTATTTATCAAGAATGAATGTATCACAATCCTTCATGATTAATTGTTGTACAAGATTTTGGATAATTATGTCAAGAAACCTTCTCTCATTGAAGTTTATCATGAGAATCGCTGTTATTCACATGTACATGTATGACATTGCTTGCACGCAATTTGCACCTACTCTCTTTCGGGGGGGGAAGCTGTTGCAAATAGCGTGCGCCCAAGCAATCTATTGGATTTGACGCCATCCACAAGGCTGTCTCGTGTTCCAGTTCAAGACTCTAGTGACTAGAGGGGACTTGAGTTAAGGTATCAAGACCAGCTTATTGAGCAAACCGGGGGAAAATAGTAGCCGTAAACGGCCGTAGGCCGCCGCCACCCTTTAAGTAGACAAACACCCCAAAAATCGATTTGGTGATGGCGAGACCGCTCCTTGGTGACAGCGAGCCCGCCAAGCCTCATTTTCAGAGACTTCAAATTTGTGATAAATTCAGGAAATGCTTGTCTCCGATTCATGATTCTTCGTTTCGGCGAGACCCGTAAAAGAGATCGCCGGTTTGATCCCCAGCGAAGGTATTTTTCCATTGACTATATGATTATGCTCAAATGGTAGGTCATTTTCATCTTCACCAAATGGATTCTCGAGTTCCACTGCGATCTGATTAGGCCCCCAATATCCCATATGCGATTATTGATCGCATTATTCTACTCCATTTGAATTATTAGACAACCAGTTTGAGATATTTCGTTTGCCACGAGCTCTCCTTAGGTTCAGGCTGCCGCCCTGTCGGGCAAAGTGTACATACTAGTGAGAGGCTTGAAGCCAAGGATAGACGCGCCTGGCTCAACAAGTAGACGTCCAGATTGACATGATACATCGTACACGACATGAATCAGGCGACGGCCTGATGCAATCACTTTGAGTTGATCGGGCCTTATTCAGCTATTGTTGATCGAGTTGATTAGCCCTAAGCCTGATTCACGCCTACACCACAAATACGTTTCGACGAGTACCAATTGATGTGAACCGTTATACGAGATCGTTGGACTTTCATTGGCACTATTATGACTAGTAGCGTCTCCCTGTACTATCCGAGTTATCTGATCTACAGTAAGCAGACAGTCTAGCATTAGTTCCACCATGCTTTCCACTAAAAGGATTGTGCTCCTCCAGAGAGATATAAACTTCCGCCACCACGCTCCCATTCATAATAGTACCGGAGTACTGTCTTTATCTCCATCGCGATCACTCTGTTGGGAATTAAACTCCACAGTCATAGGCATGGAAATAGAGTCGAGTGGATAGTGCAAAACGGCAACTGAGGATGTGCGCTTGAGAATAGATGAGACCTCATCAACACAGTCCCCAAGTGATATACGAATGAATGAATATATACGGGTATATACCATTATCCTCGATCATTCGCCTATCCTGGGCGAGCGCGCTTATCTCTCACCAGGGTGAGACACGCCCCCCCTGCCGAAGTCCCATTCTTCTTCGGTCAAGTGCAGCCACTCCAAGCGAGACTGCCCTTTATCAGCAACATCCCAGACGACCAATACTTTAGTATCTCGATGATGCATAATCGTGCTCCAGTGGTACTCCTTCGATCCGTCAATATGGGACAACCGAAATCGCACGCGTGCACCCACTAAAGTCGGACCGCACTCGCCGTCTTCACCCGAGAAATCAATCGAATCTCCATCAGGGATTCCGCGGATCCTCAGCGGGAGAAGGTTATAGTGCGATTCCATCGTTATTCGCTCGATCGCTCGATCGCTATGGGTCTTCGTCCACAACACATTATAACGTCGGTCGCTGATCGGTCTCACTACCCATCCACAACGCCACTGCGGCTTATCCTTGGAACGGGGTGCGAAGATCATAACGGCATCCCCTGCCAGGAATCCCCCACCTTTCCGTCCAAAGCGACGATCCTCCATTCGGATCTGACGCCGTTGTGATGGCCAATATATTGACATGAAGGATCGCAGGAAGAATAGCCGCCGCTGACCAAGCGAGTCACACGAAAACCCCTGCTCGACGCAACTGCCGCCCTCTCGAGTATATCCATAACGGAGATGGTCTGGGGTGAGGACTCCTAATCGACCATCGCTGGTGATATCCGCCTGTGTGAGTGGCCTTCTATTCAATATCCAACACACCTCATCGGCGAAGTCCTGCTTGGTGGTGGAAGTCCAATCTCCATGAATGCGGAATCGCCTCTGCAACAGCACCCTCGATACCTTCAAAGCTATCCTATGATGAGTCTCTACTCCTGTTGACCATGGGGCTCGTGGATCTGCTGCCATCACCGATATTCCGAACGATCTCACCGCTTCCGCATATGGCCTCGTTGCCACTGCTCCATCAGCCAACAGGTGGCGAAATCCGCCTTCCCTCTTCTGAGCTCGGGCTGTAGCTTCCGCCAGGTTACCGCTGTCGAGCCCCTCGATCACAATCCACAGACAATGCCGAGTCAGCAGACAGAAAAAGGACATAAATATCAGATCACTGTTCACCTTGATGACATCAGCAGCTACGGCATAGTAGGGAGGACGACTCTTCAACATCATCTTATCCAACTTGAGCTCCGGGTCTTGGGATCCCGGTCCTGCCACTCCCCTGGGTTGGCTCCACAGCCTTCTTGCCGATAGCAACTGGCATATCACGCAGGTGTTGATTTCATCTCGCGCTGCCCCACGTAACGCTGGACTGGTGAATCCCATCTGATGAACTTTCTCCACCGTGGCCGCCACCCCAGGGTGGACGGCCAAGCGGTGAGCCGCTTTCACAAGCCTTGTCCTGAACGGACCCGCTCTCTTCGGGACGACATAGCACCATTTACAAGTCCCGTATAGCATAGGTAACCGGAGACGAACCACTCCGTGAGGGTCCTCTGCGTGCCTCCTGTCCTCAAGCTGCTCCTTGCGCTCAGCCGACGACCAGTGCACAGCCTGGATGGCTCTGACGTAACTTGATTGATCTTCTTCCGAGTATTGCCATGGATATTCGTTGATGCTCCCACCCGCCTTCCAGCAGCGTAGACACCATCTAAGATTCGCCCAGCGGTCGAATACAGCCTCAATGTCCCAACAGTCCTCTACAACTCGTTCAGTCAAAGGCCTGAGATGATCCCGCAACTCCGGCGCTGAGTCCACCGATATACGGCACAGACGATCGTGAACGATTTTTCCATCAATCGTTGGTGGTAGATCCCCCAGCCGGCAGATTAGGTCATCGACTATGCCCGCTGAGGCCTTCGGAGAGTCTAGATGATCCTGCAAGACCTTCCCCAACGAGCATGTCGGAGATAGAGTACCGCATCGCCGCTCGAGAAGTCTCGACAACCCATCGGCTCTTACGTTCAGAATCCCTGGGACATGGCAGATCGTCACGCTAGCTAGAGTTCTAGCCATTTCTAGTTCCTCCTCTATAACCGATGCCAGCCGCTGGATTGCCCTGGCTTCGAGAGCTCTGGACGGTCTCTTGCCGGAAGACCATTGCACCGTAGAGACGTTATCACTCCTAACAGTCAGGCTACATGTTCTCCCAGGCGATCTCGAGTGGTAATAATACTCCAAGAAGCTCACGGTGAACTGTAGACCCCGCCATAGACCGATGAGTTCCCGGCTGGGCCCACTGTGGGTGCTTTCGGCTTCTTAAGCGACACATGAACTCTGATCTTGCGATTGATTGCACACTTAGACCCATCAGCCAATTCTACCCAGCGATTCGTGGGCTCAGTTGGAAAAGTGGTCTCGCACTCATTAGACGAAATCCAGTAGGATCTCCCCGCTCCCGGATCACAAATAGCCGTGACGTCCGTTTGCCGCTTAGATGGATCACTACTCGAAATCAAGTCACAGACCACTGTCAGCTCAGGAGGAATTTCCAGCTGCAAAGAGCACACTTTATCGTGGATAGGACTCCCGATCTGTCCAACGACGGACCCTATCAGGACCTCATTGATAACCGTGGCCTTCTTACTTTCTTCCTGAGACTGGTTTCGCTCTTCTGACATCTTCGTGAGCTCGGATTCGGACTTGAGTGTGTAAGGGGTTTCAGTTCCGGCCGACATTGTCCCCCTTGGACATGTCGGCCTTACTCGTTTCCCGAACGAGCTCGGAACTGGAACGGACGGATGGAGTACTCCTGCTTGGCTGAGCTCTTCTCCACCGCTGCCTTTCCCTTCGTCACTTCCGTGTACCCGATCAATGCTAATGGTTGCTTCTTGCCCCTAATGAACTTGATAATGTCTGGATCGAGCTCCCGTTTTATCGCCTCCGAGTCGAGCCTCTTCTCCGATGACTGTGACCGGATCACGTACACGAGAGCGTATCCCTTCGCCCACGAGTCCAATGGAATCTTTCCTTTGGAGCCATCCTTCTGGGTCGCTACTTGAGAGTTCCCTTCCCGTGCCTTCTTCTCATCAGCATAAGCGACCCTATCTGCTGATTGCGATGACGGATCAGCACTCTCTATGGTACGGCATACGTCCCGAATGATATCACTGACGGACATCTGCTCCGCATGGCTAGGGTCGAAGCTTGGCACAAATGGTAGTAGAATCTCCCAATCACAGTCCATCGCCATCCTCCTCGACATAGCCGAGGCCAAGCCCACCGTCTGCTTGATCTCCCTAATGACCTCGGTGGCAATGCGCGGTGGTAGAGTGCCAATGATGTGCTTCACTACTCGACGTGTCTCACTCCTATCTTGGCCATAGGCTGCCTCCAGAGCATGCATGATTGCCTCGCACTTCTCCAGAAAGGCATCGACCTCCACTGGGGAGGAGAACTTAAGTTGTCGAAGAAGTTTTGCCAACTCGTCGACTATGGCCGATCTTCGCCCATATCGCCTAATGACACTGTGACGGACATGTTCCCATGACCATCCGAGCTTCCTTGCTGCTCTCTTGGCACTATTCTGTATGGCACCATCCGGCAAAGTCCTCAAGAAGGCTTCGATACACGAGACGTGTACATCACCATAAGGTCTGAATTGTCGGCCTTGACCTTCGCCCACAAAAATACCGATCCTTGCCTCCACGAAGATGTTCTCACAGACATCAAAATGGGCCGCGAGTTCTAGAGCCTCAGTACATTTGGGAAGCTTCAACCGGGACGGATCCATCCCTTTAGGACCCGAGGCACCTCTCAGCTCATAAGCGCCATCTCCTGGCTGTGGCCGATGTGCAGTTCCTGTCACTGTCAGATCCCCACTCGGTGGCGATGAGAGTATATGAGCCCTCGATATCTCTCGACATGGCACCCCACTGTGAAACCCGCTCCTCGTCAAAGGCGCATAGGCCATCGAGGTTCCCACATCCACATGTGATTGGGACGGAGGTATTGCATACAAGACCGCTGGCGCCGAATCGCCTCGTGGTGGGACTGATGCCCTCGCCGGAGAGTTCGGATCCACGTCCTGTTCAATCCCATCTGAGCCCTTGATGGAAAACAAGCCTATCGATGACTGTTTATGTAGTTGCTTTGATGCTTTCGAGCTCACACTGGATCCACCATGTGAAGATCGAAGAGCCACTGCTAGTGCGGCCCCCTCCAACTCGTCAATATCCGCTTGGATTCTTCGCAAACGATCCAGATGCAGTGATTCACGTGAAGCCAAGCTCATAAGCTCTTCGGGGGGATCTCCTTCGTCCGGTACGATGATATTCTTCATCATTTCCCTGACATCATTCACCCTTCCCTGGACCCTGCCACGTTCCACACGGAGCTTGAATAGCTCTTTCTGACGAGCTATCTCTAGAGTCTCGATCGTAGCTGACCCTTGTGCCGTCTTTGCCTCTGCCACAGCTGTCACCATGTCTTTATCTCCATCGCGATCACTCTGTTGGGAATTAAACTCCACAGTCATAGGCATGGAAATAGAGTCGAGTGGATAGTGCAAAACGGCAACTGAGGAGGTGCGCTTGAGAATAGATGAGACCTCATCAACACAGTCCCCAAGTGATATACGAATGAATGAATATATACGGGTATATACAATTATCCTCGATCATTCGCCTATCCTGGGCGAGCGCGCTTATCTCTCACCAGGGTGAGACATACCCTCTGAGCGAACATTTGGGTGAGTAGTGATCTTGCCCATCGGAACGGATCATGTCTACATCAGTGATACTGTCACCACTCGGAAACAGGTAACCGGTGTCGAACACACCACGAAAATAAGACTGGCATACAGAGGAAATGACTTCCAAATGCAATCGATTATCTGGGCGCGCGCGAAGAGCCGCGATATCACGCGCGTGCTTTTTACTGGAATAACTCGCCTCACGTTTGAAGTTAATTCGCATATCTTTCTCGTCATTAAGCATTCCATCAGCTTCGAATGTAACACAATTGTTTAATGGGAGGCATCCTGACGTCCAGCCTGCCTGGAAACCACACCACTGAGCCTTTACCAGAACTGTCTGCTGCTTTATCCGAGTTGCAGAAGAAGCTGCACTTCGGGGGACTTGTGTCCCCACCTGGTGGCCTTGGTTACCGACTGGCCGATGGTGACTGGTGTGAGGAGGTGAAAAGCAAACAGACCGTCCCGACTGATATAGCAGCGGTCACGACATCTAAAGATTTACGCGAACTATTGGTCGTGATTGATTACTGCAATTCTGAGGCGTTATCCATCGCCCTCATAGGAGATGCTCGAGAGCTTCTAGCATCATCCCCTATCCATGAAGCGTCTCACAGAACCCTCGTTGGTTATTCTATAGCGGCCTCATCGAAGTTCATCATGGTGAGGACGGACAGTGACACTGGCCACCGACGACTCCATATTGGTATCTCAACGCCAGCGACAGATGTCCAGCGTTGTCTCCGAAAACTAGGACTGTGTTTTCCGGTGTCACATTGCTCACCGTTATCTATGCGGCAATCGTACTTAAAGGAGATCCGTATGGTAAATGTTGCCGACCGAAACTGTGGATACTCTGCGATATATGGTACTGACCTATTTCAAACCTTCCAGCGCACAGGGTCAATTATACTTGGTAGATCTACGGGAGAAGGTACCTCTCACAACAAATATGAAATCAGCCACGTTATATATGAAGTGGTGTTGGATCTGAAAGAGCTTATCGATTTCTATACCAGGCAGGAGCGCTCAGATGAGGCTTGCCTACAACCTCAGGCATCCACGGATGGGGCCTTTCGGTTCCTCATTATCCAGGCCGCAAGTTTCAATGAGGATAAAGTAGGTGCTCTTGGTTTACAGCTTTTAAGCACGGCTTTCTCCTCAGGCTATCCGAGATGCTGGTAGCCCGGATTCGGATAAGAGCACTCTATCTATTGAAGTGAGTTGATGTTCCCCTGCGGATTCTCATGGTTTTTAGCCGTCCAATACTCTAATTCAGATTCATGGGGCATCCACAACATCTCTCTGAGTGATTGAAGCAACCTCTACATCGTTCGATCTCTCGTTTCGAGAGTCCTTATCGTTATTAGCTGTGCACATTTCGCCACATTTAGCCGCTTACTAGTTTATCGATTATCCTTTTGAAATGATCAATTATCCCTTTGTGTTGGGTAAATTTGCGGAGTAGAAAACAACGTTAGTGAGAGCATTAATATTGAATACTTTAATGGACACAACCCCGTACCAGAATCTCGGCATCTTATTGCTGAAGTTCAATCCCTTCTTCTGTGGTGTTCTTAGCTACGTAATTGGAAAACAAAGTAAGGTAGTCCTGTGACTAGCACTACTACGGTTTCAACTAGTGGCCCTGTGACTAGCACTACTACTGTATCAACTAGTGGTCCTGTGACTAGCACTACTACGGTTTCAACTAGTGGTCCTGTGACTAGCACTACTACGGTTTCAACTAGTGGTCCGGTGACTAGCACTACTACTGTTCCAACTAGTGGTCCTGTGACTAGCACTACTACTGTTTCAACTAGTGGTCCTGTGACTAGCACTACTACTGTTTCAACTAGTGGTCCTGTGACTAGCACTACTACTGTTCCAACTAGTGGTCCTGTGACTAGCACTACTACTGTTCCAACTAGTGGTCCTGTGACTAGCACTACTACTGTTTCAACTAGTGGTCCTGTGACTAGCACTACTACTGTTTCAACTAGTGGTCCTGTGAATAGCACTACTACTGCCTCAACTAGTGGTCCTGTGACTAGCACTACTGCTGTTTCAACTAGTGGTCCTGTGACTAGCACTTTTACGGTTTCAACTAGTAGTCCTGTGACTAGCACTACTACGGTTTCAACCAGTAGTCCTGTGACTAGCACTACTACGTGGTCCTGTGACTACCACTACTACTGCCTCAACTAGTGGTCCTGTGACTACTACTACCGCCTCAAGTAGCGGTCCTGTGACCAGCACCACTACGGTTTCAACTAGTGGTCCTGTGACTAGCACTACTACTGTTTCAACTAGTGGTCCTGTAACTAGCACTACTACCGCCTCAACTAGTGGACCTGTGACTAGCACTACTACGGTTTTAACTAGTGGTCCTGTGACTAGCACTACTACGGTTTCAACTAGTGGTCCTGTGACTAGCACTAATACTGTTTCAACTAGTGGTCCCGTGACTAGCACTAATACTGTTTCAACTAGTGGTCCTGTGACTAGCACTACTACGGTTTCAACTAGTGGTCCTGTGACTAGCACTAATACTGTTTCAACTAGTGGTCCTGTGACTAGCACCAATACTGTTTCAACTAGTGGTCCTGTGACTAGCACTACTACGGTTTCAACTAGTGGTCCTGTGACTAGCACTACTACGGTTTCAACTAGTGGTCCTGTGACTAGCACTACTATTGTTTCGCCTAGTGGGCCTGTGACTAGCACTACTACTGTTTCAACTAGTGGTCCTGTGACTAACACTACTACTGTTTCGCCCAGTGGGCCTGTGACTAGCACTACTACTGCCTCAACTAGTGGTCCTGTGACTAGCACTACTACTGTTTCAACTAGTGGTCGTGTGACTAGCACTTCTACTGCCTCAACTAGTGGTCCTGTGACTACTACTACCGCCCCAAGTAGTGGTCCTGTGACCAGCACCACTACGGTTTCAACTAGTGGTCCTGTGACTAGCACTACTACGGTTTCAACTAGTGGTCCGGTGACTAGCACTACTACTGTTTCAACTAGTGGTCCGGTGACTAGCACTACTACTGTTTCAACTAGTGGTCCTGTGACTAGCACTACTACTGTTTCAACTAGTGGTCCTGTGACTAGCACTACTACTGTTTCAACTAGTGGTCCTGTGACTAGCACTACTGCTGTTTCAACAAGTGGTCCTGTGACTAGCACTACTACTGTTCCAACTAGTGGTCCTGTGACTAGCACTACTACTGTTCCAACTAGTGGTCCTGTGACTAGCACTACTACTGCCTCAACTAGTGGTCCTGTGACTAGCACTACTACTGCTTCAACTAGTGGTCCTGTGACTAGCACTACTACGTTTTCAACTAGTGGTCCTGTAACTAGCACTACTACTGCCTATACATACTGCATATCTATATATACAGAGAGTTATACTGCTGTATAATATTATGCTAGAGTCTATTATCCATTGATACGGAATTGAATCAGAAATGAACATAAGGATTACCCACCTCTTGAATTCATCAACACCTGACCCTTCCACTGAGTTATGCTCTATATGTAGTTTTCTCGGCATCTATAACATAGAGATGATCGGTTGTGGAACGAACCCAAGAGGATAGGGGAATGATGATGACATCATCATGATGTTATGATGGATATTCTATCATGACAACCGATAGACCATATTCCCCAGGATTTCAAAGCAATAGGAAAATGCTCCCTATTTGATATTTACGTGGTAATCTGATTGATCTGATTGAAAAATGTGTTCCAAGCCATACGTGGAGAATGATGTTCCTAATGTGATGATGATATTCACGTGGGAAACTGCTGGGAACATAATGATCATGTTCGGGCAAGTGATGGGAGACCATGGGTGAAGGCGAGAAACATTGTGGAGGCTTTGGCTGAGAAGTTGGGTCCAGTTTGTATTGGTCGCGATGTTGGTGACATCATTAAGAGGACTTTGGCGAAGTACGCCAAGTATTGTGATTCTGGTAGGAAAAATGCAGGGTGTGGGGATCGAACTGGGGTTGGTTGTTGTTTAGACGAGGGGTGGGGCATTTCCTCATGCGCGCGAAACACCACCATTGACTAGTTGTTTGACTCGTTTTACTAATCTATCGCATTGGCATACACATTCATTTTTACCTAGCCAAGTTTCCTCTTATCCTCGTAGCGTTTGATTCAATAGTGGGGATAAGTGAGCATCGTGATACTATTTGGTAAATCCGGTAATGAAGGTTCGGAAGCTTGCCCTAATAGGTCTAGCGGTGCTAATAGGTCCGGGGATGGGCAAAACTTGCTCCATGATGATCATCGCATGAAGATCTTTAAAATTTTGTCTAAATGTTGATCATGGCATGATCGAGAATTTAGGGGGTTCTGTTTTCTTTGGCACCTGTAGTGCCCGCCTCGTGTCATCATTGATGACTCATCAACGGTGACTCATGACAGCGTAGTTGCGAATCAATGACTAGTCGCCGCGGGTGGAGCAGCAAAAAATGGAATGCATGGCGGGAGCTGAAGCGAGTCGTTAACCGCCGTGGTGTGCGACTTATTCAAGAAGAGGTGCAGATTCTTGGGCGGCTGCCGCCTGGAATGCAAGTAGAGGTCGTGAATCGCTGGGTTCTCCTTCTGAATAAGCGAGGCGTTGTCGATGTACCTCTTGGGCTCTGCATTCGGGAGGTTGGGAGGTTGCTTGGGAGGTGTGGCAAGCAAGACTTACATAGCTGAAGTTGGTGGGAGGCTGAACGCCCAGGTGGTGATACAGGACCCCAGGGCCCCCTGGGCGGGTGGTTTCGAAACTCATCACAGGTTGGGACTTAAGGCGTGCAGGGTACTCTTTCCTGGGTACAGTAAAAACTGTGATTGGGGGAACCCGGTCATAGCTCAAGACTTCTGCGATGAGATCTGCGCCGTTATCAACTCGCGCCCGCTTTCCAGTGGCGACATTACCCAGGATGCTAGAGTCGTAGCATTAACGCCCAACTCTCTACGTTTCGGTTACTCAGTGAGGAGCTACCAGGGTAGCGGACTCACTGCACCCGTACTGGACAGCGATCACGTCAATGGTAGTGAGGTGATGGATGATGCTGAAGGTTCGGCTTTTGTTGGGCGCCGAGCACAACTGATGCGAGCTTTCGTCAACAACTACCTGCCTGCTCGAAGAAGGGCGGTCCTTGAAACTTTGGGCACTCGTGGGCGTCCCCAGCAACAGTTTCATGTGGGTGATTCGGTGATTATCCATCAACCCTCTCGGAAGCAGGAGGCGTGTTGGCGGACTGGTTGGATCATTGGTTGTTTATCCCCACACAGATATCCCATGGATAGTGTCGACCATGCCGAAGTGAGGAAGATTATGGGAATAGTGATGGTAAGCATTGGTGTTGGAGATTCAACAATGGTGATGGAATGGGTACCACCAATGTGGCGAACTCATGTTTAGACAAGTATTTCCTTATAATTAGTACTAGTATTCAGAACTATGTCGTTAGTAGTATAATAATGGCATTAATATGAGCCACAGTGATGTCCTCCATGGCAGAGCTCGAGGTCCGAGTCGGACCATCCGATCCGTGGAGCGGGTGCTCGAGAGTACTCCAAAATTCGATATTATCGAATCGATAATCACTCTGATGATCATCAGATCGGCGCTCCTCGTTGGCGTAACCCATGATAGGGAATATCCAATGTAGCACCGACACGGTTACCAGGTTGGGTGCGCTTCGCCAAACTTTGAAACATTGCAGCACAAAAATTTAAAGTTCACGTATGCTTATCTGGGCGGGCGCTAAGTTTAATGGCGTGTTTGTGCTTGTACAAAGCCAACTTCGATAAGAACTCAAGTAGAATAGGTGTGGGAGAACGGTTTCCGCTACGATTAACAGTGATGCCCGAATCAACGGTAAACCACGATAACAACAACTGTATCAACGACTATAGCTATATCAGGAAGTATAGCTAATCTGTTATAATCGATTTCCTGCAAACTGCATAACCCTAATGAGGAAACACTCTGTTTGTGCTTGTACAAAGCCAACTTCGATAAGAACTCAAGTAGAATGGGTGTGGGAGAACGGTTTCCGCTACGATTAACAGTGATGCCCGAATCAACGGTAAACCACGATAACAATAACTGTATCAACAACTATAGCTATATCAGAAAACATAGCTAATCAGTTATAATCGATTTCCTGCAAACTGCATAACCCTAATGAGGAAACACTCCCGGAGGCCAATCCTCAAGACCGACCGAAATAATCAGCAGAGCAATAACGGAAAGAAAGGTAACAACCAACCTATACGACAGAAGTGACGCGAGCAGTTTAAAAACCAGCACACATCCACCAGAAGTCAGCACAAAGCCAACGAAAAGAAGAGCATAGAACATAATATCCATGTCCACCATTGATATCGATTGAAAATAACATACAACAATGATCAGCAAATAGCCATAACTATACTGGATCATTAATCAGAACCGCCTCTCGGAACCACCTTCAAATTTCCGAGAAATTCCGACTTCAATATTGGACGACCTTGCCAATCAACGCCTATCTTCAGGCTAGCCACTGAGCCGGTAATAGCAACGATCTGGCAAACCTGGTCCACGAGCCAACGCGAATCCAGCTTACCACGACGGTTGAAATTATATCGAACAACATAATCCCCAACTCGAAACCTCTTAAAGTCCTGTCTAGCCAACTGGGTACCAGCGAAGACTCGTCTAGATGCAAGTACACGATCGATACTCTCAGCAGTATTTAATTGCATACAATCACTATGTCGATTGTGAAATTGTAACATAAATGCTTCAGCATCTCGATGGTTGGGAACCGGTAACTCACTCATAGTAGATACGAATTTAGCAGCCTCAGCCGACCTCTCCCTATCGTCATAGGTAGGGGGAAGGGCACGGCCATAACAGAAATGCAGTTCAGCTGGGAAGACAGCAGAATCAGCCGAGTGACGATATACGTGATTAATAGTCCACATGGCACGATCAATAACATCAAACCATTTTAATGTGCGAGACTCATCTCCAATCAGCAAGGCACGCACGATCTGCAAGAAGGTTTTATGTAATGTTTCATACCAACCATGAGCACGTTCGCAATGAGGCGGCGTTCGGTACCAGTGCACACCACATGCCTTCAACCAAGAAGATACACGAACATCTGCGAAACGCTGATCCTAATCACTGACTACAATCAGAGGAAATCCGTGACTATAGAAGACGGACTGCAAAGCTTTCAGGGTGCTCAGCCCACCAGTATGGTTAGGACACTTCTCAGCAATCAAATACCCACTGAACGAATCAATACATAACAATACCATAACAGCATCATCCTGCTCAGAGTGATTACCAAATGGAGACCTAAACGGCCCTACGAAATCACAGCTTATCAGTTCCCAACATCGGCTTGATCTTAATACAGAACGGCCGAGCTCATGATGGAAGGTTCTATGAGCACGGTTAGCAATACACACCCGACATGAGCGTTCGTGACGACGATAATCTCGTAAGGGACCACAATAGAAAATCTTATACGTTCTCAAATAAATCTTATAGTACCCAATATGGACAAATAGTTCATGTAGTAAGCTAATTATCTCGCGACAGCGAAAACTCGGAACAATAAGTGCATTGGTGACAGCATGTCGAACAGCTCCATCTACAACTCTATATAGACGCCGTTCTCGATCACAAGAGAACTGCCCGCGCAGCAGTCTTCTCAACAAGTCATCGTTCGCCTGTGACTCTCGAATTGAGTCAACCAGTCTGGGATCAGGCTCGTAGATTGGTTCATCTTCGGGGGCATCAGCATCCTCAGGAATAACACATAGCGCCTCCAATACAGGATCAGGTGGGCCCATAACAGCTTCTCTCAATGCCACGTCTTCGTCAAATGGGCAACGTACAGGAATGCCACGAGAATAAGGGTCTGCCGGGTTGACACCGCCAGGGATATGCCGAACATTACCACCGGAACGATGCAGTGCGAGAGCTATCTTCTGAATGACTCTACGCTCATATGCTGGTAGTTGCAGCGTAGCTTTATGGCTCACTCCATCAGCTTTCACGGCTTCTAACTCTCTTCTGATACGGTAGAAGTTACACTCGCTGTCAGTGTACAGAATTGGAGTCGGTGATATCGATGTCGGCAGCCAAGTATCCTTCCACAGTGTAATAGTTTCAGTAAACAATTCCATCACATCATCACATGCTGTCAGCTCTTTTCTGACTATGCTCCACGACATCCTGCTGGAAGGTATCAACCGGCCACGGCCTCGGATGAAGACCAATGCTGTAGTCAATAGTACACTACCAACCGCGTACATACTCGAATCAGCAAACAAGTACACAATCCCTAAATCAGCAAGGGATGCTACCAGCAATCGTGGGATAGTAGGGGCATCAGTGAAAAGCTGCATCAACCGTTCAATCTCCCTATAAGTAGCAACGGATACAAAATCATCCCACCCTGAGCCCTTACGGATTTCAGAGCGTAGGGTGTATCTCATAGCTAACAACAAATTACTATGTGAACCTATGGGGTCAAAATGCGCATTCACCCCAGCTAAAATATCTCTACACGTAACATTACAAACAGTACGCCCTTCCACCTCCATAACAACTAACGGAGGGAGAGGCACATCAGCTTTCTGAGCACGGAAACGGTCATTCGAAAGCCAATCTAATCCTAATACATGTGACTCATGTCCCTGTGGTGGCGGACCCAATTGACGCTTCCGTTCCTGCGAATTGAACCCACGAACTATGCAGGCTCTCAGAAACGCGTCTAAGCCGCTCTCAAGACCCACATGGGAACCAGAGCCAATCACAACATCATCCATGTAAGGCTTCATATACACATACAAAGCAAAATCATGCGCCGACCCCTGAGAATCACTGATATGGGAGATCGCATTCTTCACATTGTCAGGCAACTTATGCCTCGCAAGGGACACAAGCCTCCTGAGAGCATCATTCAAACATGCCGGAGAGTGAGGACTGCCCATCGGCGGACCTCGCAGACGATACACCTCACCTTTCCATACCGGACAGAACCAATAACGACTGGGCGGATCATTTTCCAACATGTAGAAAGCGCACTCCAGGTCCAGAATTGCCACATAGGGAAAAGCACGCCACGCGAAAATGGACGGAAGAATCCCACGTTTACTGCGACCCAAAGCCGATCGATCTGGTGAACCTTGACCACTTCCAATAACTCCTTTATAACATAAACCATTCAAGACAGGGCGAACCGGTGAGGACTGGGAGTTGGGGTTCAATACGGGGAAGTGATCGATGATACTTGCCACTCGAGGGTATTCCCCTGGCTTCAACCGAACGATAGCACCAACAGCTTCATAACGCTCAAATACCGAAGAATATGCCGATAGTAACCCCAACTTCTCTAGTCGCCGAACGAGAGCACGATCCTTCTCGAAACTACGATGCAACGAACAGGTCTTCGTCAGATCATCTCTTGCCTGTGCTGAAACCCACGGTATCCCGTAACTATAACGGAATGCGACACTCAATCCTCCGTCAACATTTTGATGCCATGAAGGAGTCAGACCACGGAACAGAGTACGATTCTCGAACCCATCCAAGCCTTCTTGCGGCGATCCCGCTGGTTGCTCAACAGGTACACCTACTTCTGGATCGGTCTCACTCAGAATCCCCTCAGCTTGGAGGTTCGTCCCCATACACAGGAGCCGCACCCTCATACACACTCTCTCGGATACTCCGAGAAGGGCAGGAAACATCACTTAATAGGTCATTCTCCAGTGGATACTCAATACTGTAAATAGAGTCAGGAGAGCACAACTCAAAGAACGCGTCCGAATTGAGTAACTGGCTAGACTCCGAGACCCCAGATTGTACAACATTCGACTCAATTGCATGGATCGGTTGCTCGCACGAAATATTCGAAACGACATCTTTCACAACTTGAGCTGGCAATGCTGCCCGTAACAGAATCTCATCATCACTCAGATACACCATCAGAGAGAGCGAACGTAGCGCCTGCATACCCAGAATAAGATCACACGATAAATCATCAGCTACCAACAACCATAAACCAACAGCTTTATGTGGAGTACATACCGTAACATAAATAGCTTCACTGCAAACCATAGCAGATCCATTGGCCACAGTCACGTTAGTTCTAACACTCCTCGACTCGATAATACAGCTTGACGGTACACGTTTCCTCGCTGATGAACGAATAAACGACCGAGCGGCACCAGTGTCCAGCAAGGCCCGGAGACGATACGACTTATTTGAAACAGTTGACGATTTGAGCTCAACCTCAACGGACAAGGGGCGTGCCGACGAATCTTCCGGAAGACCACGAATCGGATCCATGCTGTTAACAGTCATCAACCACCTGGGGCCATCACCATCTTCTACATCATCACCAGCAGCCGTCGGCACTTCTTCAGCTTCCATCTCAATAGCTGCAGGGTCTACCGGGAGAGCGTTATTCTCTTTAGTAGTAGTAGTAGTGGGCTCAGTAACGGCTGGTTTAACATTCCTACAGATGAAGGAAACATGACCTCTGACTCCACAACGTTTACAAGTCAGCAGCTTGTTGCCCTTTAGACGGCAGTTAGCGACCTTGTGGCCTCCTCGACCACACACTAGACACCTTGATGATAACTGACTTGGAGCCGGGGCCATACACTTGTCCGCAAGGTGTCCCGCTTGGAAACATCTACCACAGGTACCCTTCTGCAGCCGACGGACATCTGGTACATAGGTACTCGAATTAGGGGTAGCTTTCTGGGCAAAGGCAACAACTTCCTTACCGGCGACCTTCACCAAACCACCATCAGCCACACCATTTACCACAGTAGTACGAACAGCAGTAGTAGATAATGCAGCAGTATTGATATCGCTTAAATTAGCACGAGATTCCAAATAAGAGCGAGCAACCGTTACGTCCATCTTTGCTAAACGATAGGTCAGAGCCCAATCATCAAACGGGGCACGACAACTATGAGTTAACTTATCCCAAATATCATTATCGGTCAAGACATCGCCCTGGAGGGCTAATTCGGTTTCTAAACGATCCATTTCAGCAACAAAAGTACGGAACGACATCTCAGGGGTCATTCGGAGATCATGCCACTTCTGACGCAGACGAGACGCTTCAGACGGATCCAGATACAAGGTCAAAAGGGCAGAACGCAACGCACTATATCGCTCTCTAAAATGAGCGAAGATGTCCCCTTCAATATCATAGTCTTCCTTGGGACCTAGGCGAGCTTCTACACGATTGCGAACTTTCTCGCTGAGACTATACAATAACAGAAAGTAACACGTAGGCGATCCACTGGAGATGGCACAATACCGAAGTGCACGATCAAAAGAACTCAAATGGGCTCGAATGGATGCATGACTCGTGTGATCAAGAGATGTCGCCTTCCCATCGTAAATACCCAGCTTCACCGCAGTGAGCTCTTGGCGGGCTTCCTTACGAGCTTCCTGAACTAGGCGGCGGTTAGAGCTCCCTTGGGATCGATTTCGAGGAATCGAGTTTCTCAGATTGTCGTCGTCCTCAACGATTTCGTGTTGGCTCAACGGTACAGCAACATAGGGATTGGTCTCCTTGCATACAAGGTCCCTCGGAGAATCCTCAGAACCAACGGCTATCGCATCCACTCGCCCAGCCAAGGCAGACACCTGGGAGGCTAAATTACTCAAAGACTCCTCTATAGTTGTTAGAAGTCCATCCCCTTCAGGGACTCCGTGCTGAGGCACCCCCTCAAGGTCGTCAGCCACCATACCCATTGCCGTCGAGGGAAGAGAGCGTGCTCTAGAGGTCGCCCTCTCAGTAGAGGTTCGAATCAGACCCCTTACCCCCTCCCGTAACGGAGAGGAGATTGCGGGTACTCCTAAGGAGTGGAAGTCCCCGGAGTCATCACCTGCGTCGTCCTGGTTACCCTTCTCCACAAGGGCCTCACGACGGACACGACGTTCCCCACGAGCAGAGGTCGCTGAACTAGTCGATTTCATAGTTTCTCGGATGATTGTTTGTGCTTGTACAAAGCCAACTTCGATAAGAACTCAAGTAGAATGGGTGTGGGAGGACGGTTTCCGCTACGATTAACAGTGATGCCCGAATCAACGGTAAACCACGATAACAATAACTGTATCAACAACTATAGCTATATCAGAAAACATAGCTAATCAGTTATAATCGATTTCCTGCAAACTGCATAACCCTAATGAGGAAACATGGCGTGTGACCTTGCGAGTCGGTGCGCAATTGTCCAAAGTGGGAAGATACGTGTTGGTGGTTGATCAACTGTTGTTGATCGACTCTTCGAGTTGTTAGTGCTCGTTAATATATCCGGGCCATTCTGTTAACCATCTTTGTAGCAGTCGAATTCCATATGGTTGCATCTGTAGCGTGTCTCAGTGTTCGGGAATATTATTATTGATCGGAAACCTGATGTGTGGGGTGGATGCTAGAAGGGGATTTTGGTCTAGGCGATTACGATTACATTGTGTTAATTCAATGACTAATCCCAACACTGTTGACGTGACCGAAAAGGATACACCTGGTGTAATATTATGCCGGTGGCTCGCATGAACAAGTGGATGTTGATTGACCCTGCACAGGTTGAGAAATCTGTACCATCGACTTTCAATAAACGCAAGATAACTTCGAACGGATTAGATGAGCCTCGGCGATCACGACGACGCAGGGGAGAACCCGATGGATATGACAGACAATACTCGGAAATTAGGACCGTGAGATGATATGAGTTGACTCTCCTGAGCTCGATACACGATAGCTGAACATGTCATGGCAGATGCACCATCCGAGGTGAATGAAACCAAATTCGAGCTAGTTGCACCGACAGATCCTAGAAGGTCGATCACCGCGTTTCTGATGGCCTCCCCGGTACCCTCGCCATGCATGTTGTGCAACCCGATATAACGAGACTGGCCTTTGCGCCTTGACATGCAGTATCGTTTGTTTGGTAACTGATACGTCAGTAGATTCATCTACAATGACACCGTACTTGCATCCTTGTAGACATTCTTTGGTTCTGGCCAGCTGGATAGCATGAGCAGCCTCAATGAATTCCCAACCATAGTTCTTCGACTCGCTCGTAACGAAAACGTAACGTAATGCTCGTAACGCTCGTAACGTAATGAATCAACTCCTAACAGAGAACAACATTCCTTGTAGATTAAACTCACAATACGATTGTGCCGAACAAGATATTCAGCGTTGCACAGAATAGAGCAATTCGACGCAATATGAAACCATGTTCCAGAGGTTTTGCCACACAACATACAAGTCGAATCATTTTTTTGACAGGATAGGCGTTCGTAGAGATGGCTTAAGTGCGGAAGGCTAGAATATCAGATTCAATCTGAAGAGAGACTTTAGCATTAGACATCCATTGCAAAGTTGCTTGCAGATCGAGCCCGCCCTTTTCTAAAGCAACAGCCCTCCAGCGAAAGTGAAGAACGCGAGCACTACAGCCAAAAACTCACTCTGTTAGTTCTGCATATATCCATAATCGTCCTCAGGAGGTAGGTTCGATCACGATCGAGCTTCGTGGCCGCTATTGCGATGCGAAAGTCTCTAGCGTACGTCTGTTACGGAAAAAATTGGTATATTCACACTCTTCGAGGCTCCCTCAGCATGAGCAGTCGCCGCTCTCAGATGTATAGCCCAATGGAGGTACTCAACACGGAACATGGATCTAGGAAGATGTCCTCAACGTTGTCCTCCACTGATAGAGACGTCTCGAGATCAGTGACCGGATCGTCACCGGTATCCCCGGTTGCGTCATCACTATTCAATGATAGCAGACAATCCGGTGCATAAAATATATTTCTATTATCGAATCTACACACGATGAGGATGAAAATCGCAACTATTTATTCGGATCCCGATGCTGCGGATACGCGACACCGATGATCTTATATCCTTCTGCTTCCCATGTGCCTCTCCATCGGCCATCCACCAAGCCAAAGCTTGGATCTTCCTTTGAAGCAATAAAGCTCCCTTGGTTGAGGAGAACTCTGATTCTCCCCAGCTCATGTTCTGGGTTTCTATCTGATGTTGTCGCATACAATGGAGCTGCTGATGGTCTATTTCCCATCGGTCCACAGGAGCAAAATAAGCTAATAACGTCACTTTCACGAGCCGGGTGCTAACAAGAAAACTATGAACAGCTCATAATGAGCACATGCTGGACATTTATTCTAGAGTATAATACACTGCAAGGCGGTGGTACAGGGGAGCCGCTCCCATTTAACGCCGCCCCAGATTGTATTATACTGCCGTTGCGGCGGGAGCCCCCTCTAGCGCCGTTCGATGAAAGAACCGTGGGTCCCCTAACCAGAGGGTAGGCGAGATGATACTGAATCTGCGTCGCAGTGCCGCATTGTACTCCATAGTCTGCGCATCGCAAGGTGTGAGCCTTACGTGTACCAGTGACTGGTGACCAGTCCTCAGCGCACGCGTACAGGCGCTGAAGGCTTCGTCTCGCAAGCGAAAGTCGTGGAGCTCGGTAGTGTCTTACTACAGAGGAACATTTCTCACGGACCTTTCCAAGGTGCAGCTTCGGCGAGAAGCCCAACGTTCCATTTAGCGTATTCTGGATCGTGCAAAAACAATTTATCGGTTGTGTTCGCTCTGGCTTTTCACGAGCGTACAGCGAATGCCGACAGAGCGGAAATCACCACGCCGCGGAGTATGGTGACAATGTCGTGCCTGATAGTCGCTGCTGTTATCAACGTACTGAGCATCGGTGGCTTAATCCGCTCCGCATGACTTCTTTCAGCATTGGATACCTGATGCCTTCAAACCATGTACATGCACGGTCATATTGATCATCGACTTTGCATGGTGTGTGACGAATACTCTCAAGGTCGGTGGTAACGCGGAGACTCGGGATCATTCTTTCAAAGAGGAGGATCAGTTTCTGTATATGAATCAGGGGCATGGTATGTTCAGCTGGAATGCAAGCATGGAGCGGTTCGTCACCCAAGGAGGGATCTTGGCACTGAGGATCACAGAAGCCTTCGGAAGCGTAGGTGGATCCAGCAGTACTTGTCGGTGCCGACAAGTACAACGACATCTCCGACTCTGAGACTCCAACATCTGTCGACGCCTCCTGAACTTTTCTCTTATTTAGGAGGAGCAGTTCTTGGACTTCGGGGTTAGTAAGATGAGACAAAGGTTCCAGGGCCTCATTGGCCGCCCACTAACCAATATCACTTGGACCGTCATCATTTGCGTACGTATACTGTACAGCGTGCTTACTGACTTACGTGTACTATGCTCCAGTTGCTTATATCAGCGTATAACTGGGGCACACTGTGCTGAGATCTCATCTCTACTCCCTTCCACTAATACCAGCAGATTTACATGGATTTGATTGTTTACCAGCTATCGTTTCGATTGTTCATGGATGATTTCTCGTCGATGTTGTGTAAGTTACCGGAGTCACCTCGGCCTACAGACTGTAGAATTTCGTTTTTCTAGTCACTTCCTGCGTACCTAGCAAGTGGACTGTACCCGGCCTTCAGGATGAGGCCGGGAAGGGGATGGTCAGTCAGACCCAAGATGCTGCTACCAGACGAATTGGAAATACAGCGGCTCAGACTCTGGCTCCCCAAGAGAGGAGCTCACCATGAGTGCTGCCTCCCGAATATTGCTCATCAGTCTTCAATTAAATGATCTTATTAAATAGCTCTGACATTGATGATGAATGTCCCTGTTGTTAACGCTCATAATCGCTAATGACGAGGGCCCACCGGAAGGGCTGAGCTTGGTAAATTTAAGAGAAAGAATAGATGGGACATCCGGACCGTCCAGACCGGACGAGACAATGAAGTGATACTGGACTCATATGACAGTTTCAGTACTTGTCATATCAATTTCGGTACTCTTCATACTCGTACGCGTTAGTAATTGTTGGAAATTCTCCTATTGGATGCATCGCTACTAGCAGCAGCATTCACCAGCAGGAGAGCAAAGCAAAGCATAGTTCACCAACATCGTCTACCGCTTTCTTCATCTTACAATGTAGATTCTACATCAGATTGCACCGCAATGGATGGTCCACTGTGGACGACGGTTACGTCTGTTTCTGTGGACCGTCCACAGAGATAGTCGCGACTATCACTGGATGTAGTTGAGGGAAACTTGCTCAAGAATCCATCACATTACGCCCTTGGGGCGTAGTGGTAGTCATGCTGAGCTGGAAAAGTGCTACCGTAACGATAAGTGTCGAGACCGCTCAGATAGCTCTGATGTACTCAAATAGGGTCCACATAACGTGGATGCTCTCGTGATGCTGATGCGCAACGTTCCCAACGCAAATCGGACAGATGAACACTTAGAAATTCGTTATCAAGATATCAGACAGTGGCAGGGATTGTATTAAAATGAAATCTACCGGTATAATCAACTTTATTAACAGAAACCTGCTACGTACTTGGAGTCTGAGTCTCGGACTAAGAGTAGTATCAGAATTAGTCGCCTCGATAGTACTAACTGGGGCTACAGTAGTAATCTCAGCTGGAGTAGTGGCGCTGCCTGCCTCGATAGGAACACTCGGTAACACTCAGCGAATCCCTGGCAGGGATGTAGTCTCCTGGGGGAAGCCGCTGTACTGATCAGTGGAGGTAACGTCACAGTAGTAGCCTCATCAGAAACATCGATTGTAGTCGTGACAATTGCAGCCTCAAATTGGGGCCCTCAGTCAGTCGATCGTAGTCAGTAGTAGCGGCCTAGGTGGTAGGCTACCACTGGTATCATCAGAATCATGCTCATCTCTACCAAGATATTTGCCTTTCAAGCAGAGGGTCCGGGTTCGATTCCCTGGTGGTGCAATCGGTATTACCTTAACTATGGTCTTAAGGCCTACCACGGGAGAGATATAGTTCGCAATCTCAAACACGCGTTGGAGCCCTAGTCCGGTTCTTGACCGCTGGACGGTCGACGAGGGTGCGTCCAAAAAAAAGGTTCAAATGTTACTCTACCGGTATCACAGGAATATTCAACCGCTATATTAGTGATATGTCTAATGGTTAGGATATCTGCCCTCCAAGCAGATGGTCCAGGTTCGATTCCCGGGCGGTGCAATCACTAGTATCTGAAGTATAGTCCATTGGCTATCGAGGGTAGTTCCACCGAGGAATACTTGCGCTTAACACGTCAGCAGGGTACAGTGCGGCTTTACGTGAGCAGCTTGGCGCGGTGGATAGCGTGTTAGGCTCATAACCCAAAGGTTTCTTGATCGAAACAAAGAACTGCTATACATCACGATATATCTGAGATGATCGTCTAACTGAAAGGAGCAGCTTACCGACTGCATAGACCAGGCCTACGACAATTTTTAACTGGAATGAGTCAGCAACCTCGTATCATTCCATGTAGTTGACCCGAACGGGCTTATTACGAACACAACAGCTTTGATGGAGAGTTGTTCATCCAGTACCCCAGACCACGTTGCGGAGAATAATCGATAGTCCAAAATCATAACCCGCCGCCTGCGGTTTAGAAATTTGTTTGCAAGCAGGAGCTTCGTAGCAGGAGTAAACGTTCCCAACTTACCATCGGTGACCTACTGATGTACTCCTCGAATGCCGCGAATGCGACAGAAGCTGATCTCGCAGTGAAAGCCTTGGTCGCGTCCTGCGCTGCCGTCGTTGCGCTCTGTCGTCTGAGTCAATCTGAGGGACGAATGTTAGAAATGTAGTTAAAATGAAGTATTAAAATATGGCATTTCAAATATCATATTAAAAACAATGAAGTAAGATCAATTCCTCTGGATGGGGCGGCTATGCCAACCTAAGATATGCCTGAGTGAGATCAATTCCGATCAATAGATCAATCTGTTGAGTTGAGTAGTGGAACGGCCACTGCCAGACACAATACGCATGCCCAGAATAAAACGCAACCACGTTAAGTAGCCAAAGAGAGAGACTATACCTTTCAGAAATCTTTTTGGCGGATTAGGCTATCAATTCAGCTGATAAGGAAGTCACCTTCGCGGACAGGGACATCAATTTAGCGATGAAGGCTGAATAGGGAAATCAATTTCGCGAATAAAGACATCAATTTCATGATTAAGGAATGCAACTTCACGAGCAAGGACATCAATTTCGGGTTAGAGCTCTGATGATGACGATTTACGATGTGCAGCTCTATAAGCCATTCCTGGATGATAGCGCAACCCCACACGAGGCTCAGAAACCATATTAATAGTTTATTGCATCTATTCGGCATGCCATGACTGACATAGAAATATGTAAAAAATCTCAACGTCAGAACTGAATCGCCCTCCGTTCCAAGGCAGGCGCGTAGTATGCGGCGCAGTTGTTGACGAAGTTGAGAACCTTTTGATGGGTTAATTCTAGGAACGCGTCGGTTGCCCACCGTATCAGACATTGAGCGCGATGTTCTCGTTGCGTCTGTCCATCAGGGACGTTTAAGAGCTCTTCGAGACCCCCCACGATTCGACGCTTCAAATTTGCTTTCACTGTCGACCAACATCCCTCGACGGGGTCGAGAAAAGGCGAATAGGGACCAAGTCTGAGTACTTGCAGACCTGGATAGAAGTTCTGGATCTCCTCCTCCAGGCGCGAATGCGCTGGAGCATTATCGATCACATAGGTTATCCGATCAGCAGCAAGCCCTCGTTCAACAGCAGCGTCGATGATTCGGCGCGACTAATTGATGAATTCTGCCCTGTTGAGTGATCCTCGGCGAGTCTCAGTTCTTATAACCCCATTTGTGGCTTCCACTGCGCATAATAAATGGACATTTTCTCCTCGTCCTGGAGTTCTCTTCGTGTTACACCGATCCCCTTTTTTCGACCAACCAACGCTTCTGGACACCCATACATTGTAATTTGATTCGTCCTCATAGATGATGTATCTATTGTTGCCCTGAGCTTGTAGAACTTGTTGTACATATTGCGCCCTTTTACCCAGATTCACCTCGTTGTTGGCTGTCTCGGGTTCGAAGTGAACTTGCTTCACTGTGTATGTAAGGCCATGCATGGACTTGCGTACAGCATCTGTGCTGATATCGAACCCTTCGTGAGCGTTTTTCAGAGCCTGTGTGAGCTGAAAAACCGTTGTTGTGCTATGGTCTGCTAGATAGTTTGTAATCCAATCCTTGTGTGCATCGCCGATGCAGCATCGGTGATCTTCCTATTTCTGGCACCACCTTTGGCCTTGAAAATGGGTAAGTCATCCACAATTTCTTTCTTGGTCCAGCCGCGTACAGTTGGTGTCCTAACACCGTTGGCCTTGGCTATAGCTCTCCAGTCCTTACCGGTACGGTGAGCTTCCATGATTCTGACCTTGGCAGAATTCGTGACTTTCTTGTAGGGTCCCCTGCGGCGCCGCGGAGGGGTCTGAGCTGCGTTCTCGGCACCTTCAGGGCCGACTTCCGTCTGGACTTGCTGCTCAATGACGTCTCCTTGGAGGTTCATGAAAGAAATAAGCACGAGAGAGAAACACTACAGATGACAAGCTGGGCGACATCTTCCCAGAAGTATCTTCGGGAAAGATGCTTCTGCGCAGCGTAAAGGATTCGTTTACACATTATCTGTCAATTCTAGCAGCACGAAGATTCTTCTGTGTTCATCAGAGCTCTAACCCGAAATTGATGTCCTTGCTCGTGAAGTTGCATTCCTTAATCATGAAATTGATGTCTTTATTCGCGAAATTGAGTTCCCTATTCAGCCTTCATCGCTAAATTGATGTCCCTGTCCGCGAAGGTGACTTCCTTATCAGCTGAAATGATAGCCTAATCCGCCAA